TTAGATTATAAGTTAAACATATAATAAATATATATTTTTTTCATAAATTTATATTAAAAAATAAAAATTTTAGATTATAAGTTAAACATATAATAAATATATTTTTTTATAAATTTATATTAAAAAAATAAAAACTAACTTTTAATTTATCAATTGTCTAATTAAATTTATTTATTTAATAATCATAATTTTATATTTTTTAATAAACAATAATATACATTGAGCTATAGAATAGATGACACGTGCAATTGCTTCAAAGTCACTAAATTTATTTAATTCCAAGTAGATCATGTCAGACAACCCATTTAAGTCTGGCAGGGCCTGGGTTTGTTTACCAGATCAAGGAAATTCGAAGTAAACAAGTGCTCTTTGATCTTGATCCTTCTCTTTCCATTTTAGAAGAAAGTAAAGTGGTGTACAATGTACAGGTAGATGAGAAGAACGAGAACCTGTCATGGAAAGCAATAGGGTATCCTGGACCTGACCCGGACTTCAAAACACAGAAAGAACAAAGACATAAACGGAATGGGGAAGGAAATGGGAAATCGAAGGATGAACAGGTAATTGATGAAAAAGAAGAGCTGTTGGGTCCTCTTTACAGAGGCATCATCAATCTGAAATACCCACGAGAGACGGTCGTTGATGATCTAAGGCGACGTGGGTTCCCTGTCTCTGTTTGTACCAAGAACACCAAGCCACCTGCCGGATTGTCCAACTGCCCTTCTTTCATTATTCACTGCGATGCTGTAGTAGTGGGTTCCGGTAGTGGGGGTGGTGTGGTCGCCGGTGTTCTTGCGACGGCGGGTTATAAAGTGATTGTCTTGGAGAAAGGGAACTATTTTGCTAGAAGCAATCTGTCCCTTCTTGAAGGGCCTAGTATGGATCAAATGTACTTGAGCGGAGGGATGTTTGCAACGGATGACATGGGGGTGGCGATGCTTGCAGGCTCCACCGTCGGCGGAGGATCGGCTATCAATTGGTCGGCTTCAATCAAAACTCCACACCATGTGCTGGATGAATGGTCCAACCAGTATGAACTAGAGTTGTTCGACAGCAAATTGTACAGAGAAGCTATGGATGTGGTGTGTAACAAAATGGGGGTTCAATCTGAAGTGCTAGAGGAAGGATTAAATAATGCAGTTTTGAGAAAAGGGTGTCAGGAATTGGGGTATCCGGTGAATAACATCCCGAGGAATTCTACTGCGGACCATTACTGTGGCTGGTGTTGTCTGGGCTGCAAGGATGGGAGGAAGAAGGGTACTTCGGAGACATGGCTGGTGGACTTGGTGGATTCAGGGAACGGAGCGATCCTCCCTGGATGCGATGCTTTTAAGGTCTTAAACAGAAGAAAGAACGGTAGAGATCGGAAAAGAGCGACTGGGATTGCCTTCCAGTTTGAATGCAAAGGACGAAAGGAAATATGTGTCGTGGAGTCTAGGGTGACTGTGGTCGCTTGTGGAGCTCTCAGCACTCCGACTTTATTGAAACGAAGTGGATTGAAGAACCCCAACGTCGGAAAGAACCTCCATCTCCATCCAGTGACAATGGCATGGGGCTATTTCCCGGATAACCCTGGCTTTCTCGGAGTCGAGAAGAAGAGCTTTGAAGGTGGAATCATGACGGTAATGTCTACAGTTGTTGCGAATTTGGGTAAATCTGGATACGGAGCAGTGTTACAAACACCATCTCTGCATCCTGGAATGTTCTCAGGTTTAATGCCATGGCTCTCCGGCGCAGACATCAAACGGAGAATGTGCAGGTTCTCCAGAACAGCCCATTTATTTGCCCTGGCAAGAGACAGAGGATCAGGAACTGTGAATTCCCCAAATTCAATTAGTTATCAATTGGAATCAGGCGACGAGCAAAACCTGCAGAAAGGATTGGAGAAGATTCTGAGAATCCTTGCCGCCGCGGGAGCCGAAGAAATCGGAACCCATCACAATAAAGGAAATAGCATAAATGCAAAGGAAGCTACCTCGGATGAATTCGAGAAGTTTGTGAAGGAGGAGAGTTCGAGGCCATTGAGGAAGCTATCGACACCAATCAGCTCCGCTCATCAGATGGGAAGCTGCCGGATGGGTGTTGACCCGAGGAAATCGGTGGTAAACCAGATGGGGGAGACGTGGGAAGTTGAAGGACTGTTCATCGCAGATACAAGCGTTTTCCCGACGGCTTTGGGAGTGAATCCGATGGTCACCGTTCAGGCCATCTCTTACTGCACTGCACAGTCTGTTCTCGAAGTTCTCCGGCGGAAGAAAAGTAAATAATAGGAAGGAAGCTTAATTTCTGCCTGTTTTTCAATTACTGGAATTTTTTTAATTAAAAAATTATTTTATAATTTAAACTCAACTGCAAAATATAAATAATTGTACAAATTTAACGAGAGAGCCTTGTATTAAGAAGTTTCAATAATAATGTGGATTTAGTCAGTTCGGGCTAGCCCATGAATTATTGTAATTTGTAACAAGACAAGAAGCCCAACACATCCAGCAAAGGCACACTCATTTCTGAAGCCCAAATGTTAGCTGTACCTAACTAGCTATTACCTACTTTCCTAGCACGGCTACAAACCCATAGAAAAAGAAAGAAAGAAAAGCAAATTAATTTTGACGAGGGAAAAAAATGCAAATTCATTTAAGAATGGGTAGTAAAAGATGCCTATGATGGTCAAATTTGATTATTAAGTTTTGGTTGAAAATCATTCCGATCCTAGCTCTTACCATAGACTTTTAAAGAATGAAAACGAAATTTAACCTTAACTCTATTGACCAATTTGTCAACATATATTAAATAATAATAATAAAAAAGGAGATGATTCAGGTAAAGACCATTAACATTCACCAAAGAAAAAGTCCACTTACGTATTACTAATGGCAGAATCGGAATGTTGTTCTTTATCAATCATCATTAATGACTCAATAATTTGACATTAACCTGCCCATTACGTAAAATTTAACATCTTCAAAGTATTCTTTCATGACTTCTTTCTTTCTTCTTCTTCCTTTTTACATTAGAAAGATATTATAATAGAATTTTATTATTAAAAAGGAGGCTTTTGTAGTGATTAATTTTTTTTTTAATTTGTATCTTAAGGATATGTAAGGAAAGATTAAAGGTAAATCCGAGATTATTGATTTCGGGCGTACTGTGTACTTGGCGAGTTCAATCCTCTCCAACTTGTTGATCTGGTTCCTCAATAGTCAAGATAAGGTCTAAATTCAATTCTTCCCAGTTATATAATAATTACGATAAGTGTCCTTACCCAATCCTATATTCTTGAGATCATCGCCCTACTAAACATATCAGATTCCGATTATTTTGTTAAGCAAATCATGTGGATACTTCATTAAGACCCATAAAATACCCCAAGAGGCACTTTCAAAAGGTAATTGAAAATCGACTTAAAATTTCTTTTACAGTCTCTCTTAAGGCATAACAAATTATTGTTGATTTAAGTATCGGAGTGTTTACATCGAAAACCAACCTTGAGCCTTTGCAAGTTAATCCAAAAAGAAAACTTGGACTAAATAAGACTCATTGGTTCATTGCAATTACAAGATATAGGTTAAGGATACATTTTTACCATAAATATATATAAAAATATATAAAAGTTAAGGTTAATTTTAATGTAAATATTAAATAAATAAATTTAATTAGACAATTGATAAATTAAAAGTTAGTTTTTATTTTTTTAATATAAATTTATAAAAAAATATATTTATTATATGTTTAACTTATAATCTAAAATTTTTATTTTTTAATATAAATTTATGAAAAAAATATATATTTATTATATGTTTAACTTATAATCTAAAAACACAAATTAAAAAATCCATAATTATAAAGAAGGAGGCAATCACTATACTATTAGGTTATTAGTTTATTTATTTAAACAATTTTAAGTTTTTGTTTTCATTGGAAAAGAAAAGATTGGAACTTAGGCACGCAAACAAGGAATTATTCCTTCTCTTTTTATTGAGCAAGTTGAGTTAGTAAATTATGTTGAAAATAAAGTACCAAAAAAATAAAAAAAATAAGAAATAAATATTTGTAAAAAATTAGTATCTTTTCAATTAAAAATAATGATATAAAAATAATTTTTTATATGATTTTTTTATTAATTTTTATATATCATTAAATAAATAAATATATTAAATATTATAAATTCTAAATAGATAAAAAAAATTTATCATTTTAATAACACATAATATTATAAAAAAATAAAAAAAAATTGTTTTTAATTAATTTTTTAATTAATTAATTATATATTTTTTGTCGAGAAGAGCATCTCTTTATCTTTATGCCCAATGGATAATTGAGAAATCATCAGCATCAGATGCCACTAGATGGTTGGCCTAATAGGACCCACAATGTCCACCTGGACTTGTGGATTTTTAATTTAGACGGTTACCGTATTCTAAATTAATTTACCCATATTTATTCTTTTGATACTTAACCATTCTCCGAAAATTTTAAAGATGTATTTTCACTTCCGCATGTACCATATATTTATATAACATAAATTTTTTTAACATTGTTATGATTTAAACTCTAAAATTAAAAGGTAAGATAGATTTTTTTTGGTTAAATTTAATTGTTTTAGTTTGATTTTTTATATAAAATTTGATAACATAATTTTATATAATAAATAAATGATAATTAATTTTTTTTAAATAACTTTTATTAAGTATTTTTATTTAAATTAAAAAAATGTTCAATTATTATATATTTATTATATGAAATCATTAAATTAATTTACATAAAGTTGAATAAATAAAACAACTAAAAAAATTAAACATTAAACAATAAAAAAAAGCAAACTCAATTATCCATTAAGAGCATGTTTGATACAATTGGTAGGAAATCTTTTTAAACTCTAAAAATTTTAACTGTACCAAGTACTACAACTTGTAAAAATTGCTGCAACTTCTTATAAGATAATATTTTATATATTTCATTTCAAATTTCAAAAATACTAAATTGATGTTTTTGCAAAAGTATTTTATTTAAATTTTAATGAAATTAACACATTATTTTTATTTTATTTTTTTTATAAAAACAATACATTTACAATAATTTCTTTTTAACATAAATTCTATTAAAAACTTCAGCTACAGTTACAATTCCTTGGTTTTTTGTGGCCTTACAAGGCAGATACCTTACTTCCAAAAAAATCCAAACTTCAGGTTTGGTGCCCACATATGGAGTATATATTGTGACCTTTTAAAGGGGAATTTTCGATGAAGAAGCCTGAGGCTGTCAGGTTGAGGCATCCACAAGATCAAGGGGGCCTGGCACAGAATCAATGGAAACTTAAGGTAATGAAATTACTTTTATATCATTTAATATCCGTAAATGATTTAAATAATTTAATAATTATTTTTTATTAAAAATAAAAAAATTTTAAATTTAAATTCATAATATATAAATAAAATAAAAAATAATTATTTATCATTTTACCATCAACAAAATCCTAAGCATTTAAAATGTAAACGGAAGCTTCCATTTAAAGTCAATGTCAGCCTGCGATTGCGTTCAAAGGGTGCCTGCCTTCCCCAGTCCTCACCCCATACATAGAAGGGAATCCTCCCTATTCCAAATTCTCTATTCTACAGTAATGAAAGAGACCCAAAAAAACCTTTTTATTTACTACTACTAGTATCATTTTATAAATTTGGAAGACCTTTTCGTCAGAGGATAAAAACCAAGACATGGGGGTTAAAAAGAAACCTAAAAGTTAAGAGGAAACGTTTGTGCAATTTGGATTTAATTATGCATTGTTTTACTAATAAATCTCAATTTAAAGCACTACGGTTGAGATTAAAATTTATTAATTGGGTCTCAAAAAATTATTAAAAAAATACTTAAAATTTATATTGTTTCAAATAAAATACTTTATAAAAAAATAAAAATAAGTTATTTTAATTTTTTAATAACAAAATAGTACAGTTCAATATAAGTGCCACATCCACAATTTGCGGCACAAAAATGATAAACCCACCATTTTGGTTTTGTTTTTTTATTCCAAATTCAACAGATTCCAACCAACATGGATCAATTTTCCCTCTTCACTGGCATTGTTTCCACCGTTTTATGTTCTTTCCTGTTCACCGTAGAAACACAGTAGATGAGCATTCTCCCCACCCACGTCAAAACCAAAGATGAAAGAGAATACATTCTCATATTCTTTCTTAAAAAAACAATTCCAAATGATGGATACAGTTAGTCATGACATCGGTATCTCCGCTTCAAAGCAATGAAATTCTTGTTCTGAAGAAAGACTACCATCAACCACCTCAAAGGAAAAAAAGGAGAGGAAACAGAGGTCAGAGGAGAATCATTTTCCTTCCCTTTAGTGACGCCCAAGCCTCCTTCTTCCTTCCTTCTTTCTCCTCATCTTCCAATTCTCTTCTTTTTTTTTTTCTTTGATAACTAACAATGGGAAAACACCAATTCGGCCTCTTCTTCTTTTTCTCTGTTATTTTCTCCCTCGGTCTTGTCTCCTTTATTTCATGTATTTTTGCAGAAACCAAGATAGCAAGGGTAAATTCAGTTTTCTTATGTTAGTTCATTGTTTTCTTTATTGTTTTGTACAGAAATTCTAAAAGGGTTTCTTGGGATTCCATTTGTATAGAGGCATGATCTCAGATTGGAAGGAAAACTCTGTTTCTTACCGGAGAGTCGAGCGGTGGTGTTCGGAGTCACAGCATTTATCTGTATCTCCCTGGCTGTGCTGACAGGGAATTTACTCTTCTTCGTAAATTGCTACTCTGGAGAAAAAAAGAAGGCTAACAAATCCACCATTTCTGTAACTCTTCTTCTCTTTTCTTGGTAGGTCTTCACTATTCATTCATCCTCTTCATCACAATTTACCCCCTAAAAAGGCATTTCAATATTCTGGGTTGTGATAGAATATGATGGATAACTTTCATTCATTTTCTTTGAGTATAACGAAACAAAAGCAGCATCACATGCAAAGTTATGTGAGAATTTATTAGAAAAAGGGGACCAAATGTTTGGAAAAACAACATTAAGGAACATGGGAACAGCTGGAAATGTCTAAAGCGATTTGAGATTCAACACCTAGGAAAATAGTACAAAATTAGGTGACAGAAACGTGGCGATTCTGTATGCATATTTCATAAAATAAAAAACGATGTTTCCAAGAGGAATGAAGCACGGAACTAATATATGGATTGTTAATATTGCAGGATCAGCTTTGGAATTACAGCGATTTTGATAGGTGTTGCAACAAGCATGAGCAGAGAGCAGCCGTATGGAGAAGGATGGTTAGATGGAGAATGCTACACGGTGAGGAATGGAGTTTATGTTGGGTCTGGCATGTTGAGTCTAGTCACCGTTTTGTCCTTGATTGGAGCGGCAGCAACGAACAAATAGCTAGGAAGCAAAATGATCAAGGCCAGAAAGTGCTGTCCAAAAGGCAACAACGGAATGAAATTGATTTTTGATGTAGTAATTTTCAACTAATAACAAGATCAGGAGAGATAGGAAAGAGAAAGGCAACCACTCCACCAACACCACACCTAACACCAGAGAAAGAATTTGGATATTGGAAGAGACACATGAAGTGAAAGATGACCCACTGGCCACTAAACTTGTTTTAATCCCTTCCTTCTATGATTGTAGAAAGATATTTTGTAAAAGATAAAATGTCAAAAAGCATAGCTTTAGCAGAAATGAAAAAGGCAGTTCCATTGTAAATAATATTCAAAGGAAATTGTTGTTAAATGTTAATGTAAATGGACTATCCACCGAGGAACCAATCAAAACACCGGATTTAAGATTAATCTTCTATCATATAATAACACCATATATGCAAGTTAATTCTTTTCTAAATAGTTAAGGCACCACCTACCTAGTAATCAATAATCCTGAGTCATGAGCGTATCTGCTCCTCAGTGGCTGCCAAGGAGGAAGAGATAACTCACGGCCAATCAAGCCATCTTTGGGCATTTGATTGTAATGAGAACAAGCATTATCTATCCTTTCAGTCTCCAAAGAGCTACAAAGAAGAAAAAAAAGGGAAAATGCCAACATTGTTGGTGATATTCGTTCAGATGCATCCTTCACACAGAGGCGTGTATAATAAGCAAGCTACAATAATTCCTTTTTTTTCCCCTTCTTTTCAAGTGGGATAATGTTGCGTTTGAAAAAAAACAAAAGACAAAAAACAAAAACTAAAACAGAACATGCCATGGTTTATCAGTTAGATGGTGCCTACAAAGCATCTCATATAAAAATCCCAAGTGACAATCATTCATTTAACCTTGAGACAGTAATATCCTAATAATGCTAAAAGTTGTTAAGGAGTAATTGCAGATGAATGATGGAAATTTGAGCGTCACCAGTTGCCATGGATTTCAAAGGATATTGACAATACATAAAGCATTTAAAAATGCATGTTTCCACCACGGCCCCTTCCACCATAGCCATATCCCCTGCCCCAGTTATAAGAGCCCCTGAAATTGTCACCACGTCCAGCGCCATAGCCACCATAAGGTCCATAACTGGGACGAGGCCTTTGCTGGAAGTTGCCAAAAGTCTGGAAAAACGTAATAGTAATGTGAAACCAACCAATAATTAACCTAAAAACAACTTTTCCAATGATATCTAAATAATGTTTGCAAAAAATTATATAGTAGAATGAACCAACCTCAGTATCCTGCTTCATCCGCTCAGTGAAATGGTTCTGTCCATTCCATGCACCATGAGAGAGTGAATTACAGGAAATTGAGTCAAAGAAGTCATCCTTCTTATATGCAGGCTGCATAAAAAGGCCACATACATCCACATTCAAGCTTAATGAAACCATGAACCAGTGCCATAGACATGCAATCTAAACTTCCAAAGCATTTTCAGAAAAGACTGCATAAGAGAAGTACCTTAGGATCAAAATTGGATGACTGGCCACGACCCTCTTTGTCCCATAAGGTTTGTTCATGAGCATTATCCTCAAAATCCTCAGTTCTATCCCTTTGTTTTCCCTTACCAAGGTAACCCCAGACTTCATCCTTCTTGAATTTTTCATTCATGGCCTCAAAATCAAATTCTTCGGTGAACTCTCTAGTTGAGTATTGAGACTGCAAAAAACCAATCATAGAATAATTTAACATCACTTAAATGTAAGGATTCCAAATGTCATTGCCCATCTATCCAAAGGATAGGAACTAATGAAAAGAAAACTTTAGTGCGGAGATTATCTATCCTAATGTTGTCCATCCAAAATGGTTGGAACTAAACCAGACAACTTGAATATTTTAACATGCATTTTCTAAAACCTTCAAGAAATATGAAAGCAATTTTATAATTCTTATGAACAACTATTTTTTTTTATAAGAAATGGAAACACGTCTTATCAATAAAAGAGAACAACAACTTCTCCAAAATTCTTATGCACAATGAAGAGTATGCTTTTGGACTCTAAATTTCAAAGATATTATGCCCTAAAGAAAGAAAGTTTTCTCACATGCTGTTTGGAAACTGGCAGCGGCAACAACGGTGGTTGAGTTACTGGAGTAGAATTTGCAGGAGGAATGTAAGATGGTACTGCTGAGCCAGGATCAACGTCCTCCTGATCAGGGTAATTCAACTGAGTCGAGGAAAGTACATGGGGTCTAGTTTGTGCTAACTGATTTGGAGTTACCAAAGATGGGGGTCGCATTAGCAAGGGATTTGAAGCAGAGCTAACAAATGGTTGATGGTAAGGCATAGGCTGAGCAGGATGGATTGATTTTGGATCAGCAACATGATCCACAGCAGCTTTACTAACAGTTTCAGCTTCAGTAGGGTTTGTTTCTTGATATGATGAAGGGAATGAAGGCATTGTCAGTTTGTTAGCAGTCATATTCATATATGCAGCATGGGAGGGAGAAGACACCTTTATGGATGAGGAAGATGGAATATCAGGTGGAGAAGAAGATTGCACTGGAGTAAGAGAATGTGCAAAAAGAGGATATGAAGAACTAACTACGACAGATGTAGGCACAGAGATAACAGGTTCAGATGTATTTATCAATCCAGTAGGCATAGTCTGAAGTTGATGAGCCTGCAAATGGTTCTGCACTGGCATGGGAGGTGATAAATTCAATGGCGATTGTAAAGAAATAGGATTTGATGCAGCATTTGAAACACTGGTTGGTGCTCCATTGTATCCTTGCCAAAAAAAAGATGTGGGCATTGATGGACCACCAGCATTTTGAGCAGTCTGGGAGTGATTTGATGGCCCTGACTGAGATGGTGATTGATGCGCAGGAAATGCACTTGGATAGGCTCTACTGCTCAGCACTGGGGTATCTTGCCATTGATTTGATTCTGTCAAAGTTCTACCTCCAACAGAAGGTATTGGAGAGGAATTACAAGGCAGTCCTGCATACTGTGACTGCAAGGGTAAGGAACACACAGGATAAACGGTTAAATTATTTTGGAGTTGATTCTTGGAAACTCAGAATAGTTAGAAATAGCTGCAAATGTCAGTACCTGAATAATAGCTGGATCATTGTGGATCTGCTCATTTGTTTGGGCAGGAGGAGAGGATTTAACTTGCAAATCCTGAAAATTGAAACCTTGTACATCAACAAATTAACTAAAATCATTAACAATGCAAGTATGCAACATAATACAAAATGCTGGGATTCCATTAGTATGTATGCTCATACATATCTATATGGTTGGGCTCTTATGAAAAACAAAGCTTTACCTAAATTGAGTATTGTGCTTGTAAATGTTTACTTCATCTATAAACATAAAGGAAGCACAAAAGCATTATACTAGAGAAATCTGCACATAACCTAGCACTACATACACATTATGCTATATATACAAGTTCTGCAATAATAAAAATGTGAGTGCCGTACATAGTAAGTTAAAATGAAAAAAAGAAATGTACGAATCTCAGAAACAGCAAATGCCCTCAAGATCAAAAGGAAAAATGTATGTATATAGTTTAAAGGAATTCCCCATCCATGGATGATACAAAGCATGGAAGATGCAACAAAGAGATAAAATCAAATACACAACTTTACAGACTCTTTTAAGCTTGTATTCTGAGCAAGAGAAAGTATGTGTTTGACTCCTTAAACAAACAAATAATAAATTAGACACAAACTAAAGAAAAACTAAAAAAAAAAGGAACACAAACAAAGGGGGAGTGGATATAGAGAACATTCTGAATGACCTTAATGTCACTTCCACGGAAAAGAATGTATTCATACACCTTGTCATATGGTGGAATTTGTGGACCATCTTTCTTTCGACCCTCTGTTCCAAAAGACCTTACTGAAACACCATAGAAGGGGCACCATGTCAAGAGAGGGATATAAAAGGTAAACTTAATTAATACCAAAGCATTAACTATAACTTGAAGATTACACCAAATTTATCACAATTGCATCTAATGCTCATTCAAGACAGCAAGATTTCTTGACATGAACTATATCAGTTTCATGATATTTCACACAATTAGGACCTACACATCATGGTTGACACTAAGTAATAGTCAAATCAAGAATTGACACAACACGACCAAGTCTTGTAATGGCTATCAAAGAATTTGGTCCCAGAATTTAGTGTATTACTAAATGGAAGAAGATAAAAGCAGACTCTTAAGATGCAGAAAAGTACTCCATATTTTTAAATTTTTAATTTTAGGCCAAAAATCCATACACAGAACGTAATGGTTAGGCACTCAGAATCCTCGACTGAGTAACCACTAGAAAATCCATAATCACTTCAAAATTTGAGCACAAATATACACATAAATTTACTTTAAAATATCTTCTCAAAATTTTCAATTACAAAAATCAAGCAAAGATATGTTCTTCAAAATCTCAACCACAAAGTCTTTAATTATTAAAAAAAAAAAAACCATTACAACATCTCGAGGGCCAGGATCATCAATCCACAGAGCAGAAAAAGTTAGAACCTAGATTTACCGGGAGGAGATACGCATGTATACATATATACTTAACTTCTTGTCGATTGATTTTCTTCCATGCTTATGTATAAAATCAAAGCATCGACGATAACCATTACCGTTTTTGAGGCCGATGGTGGAATCTTGAACGTTGAGGCAATAGAGAACGCCCTCGTACCGAATCTCGTACTTGGAGATGAGAGTGATGAAGCTTCCGATGTAGGAATCTCCGGCATTCCTCGAATTCGACGACGACTCGCCGGCCATCTGTTCTCCTAATCAACCACTATCAAAACCTACCAGGATTTTCTAGAGAAAATCGGGGAGGGAGGGAAAGTAGGAGTGAGTGTGGAGGGAAATGGTTTTATTTTCCTGTGTTCCTTTTTTTGGTTACTTTTTTTATTTTTATTTTTATCAAAAGAGGTTCCTTTCTTCGATTCCTTCGAGTTAGGGTTGTCCGATTTTCTCT